CTCCTGCAGCGCCATGACGGCCGAGCTCTGGAAGCGCAGGTCGGTCTTGAAGTCCTGGGCGATTTCCCGCACCAGCCGCTGGAAGGGCAGCTTGCGGATCAGCAGCTCGGTGGACTTCTGGTAGCGGCGGATCTCTCGCAGGGCGACGGTGCCCGGGCGGTAGCGGTGAGGTTTCTTCACGCCGCCCGTAGCAGGCGCGCTCTTACGGGCAGCCTTGGTCGCCAGCTGCTTGCGGGGCGCTTTGCCGCCGGTTGACTTTCGAGCCGTCTGCTTCGTCCGAGCCATCTCTCCGCTCGCGACAAATGAGGACAAGGGAAGAAGCCTTGAAAGGAAGGTTGCGATGCCCACTGCCTAATTTATAGTGAGTCCCGGTTTCTCTCTTGATTGGCTGGCTCCAGGAAGGCAATTTCCATTGGAAAGCTTCTGGATTTGAAAACGCGCGCTTTGCCTGATGCCCGAAAGCTCCGCCTATTACTCTGGTTTGATGTTTGTGTTGTTTTTGCGACTTTCCGCATCATCTCTGCCAAACTGAGAGCTTCAGGATTTCGTGATTGCCGCTCTTTAGTAGAATGCGATTGTTGCTGCAGTTACATTTTCTATGGAGCGGAGGGAGTACATATGTTAAGAGAAAGAGACTGTTAAAAATCCTGCCTGTTTCAGGATTTTCAAGGAAGCAAATACAATACTCCTTCCTCCTATTTTCACTACAACAACCCTGTGAGGTAGTTGGGCTAAGAAAAACACCCAGCCAGCTTCCATGGCTAAGGGAGAAGTAGAATTCACTTCAGAACTCTTCATATTCATCATCTGAAAATATATAAAATAGGTGTATAATTCAAAGTTTAAAGCGTCCTTCCTAAATATCAACACCTTATATTTCTTCTAGTTTTCAGAGTTGATTTGTTGGTTGTTTTCACTAGAAGTATTTCAGGAAAAATGGTGGTATATATAGCCATAAATGAAGTGTTCTAACTTCGTTCTGGAAGAGAGTGAAGGATGAAATCTATGTGACTTGCAATTCTATTTTCCTATTTGGGAAAAAGGGCTGAACTCAATGAGATTTTTTTAGTAACAGACTTGCCTTGCATTCTCTATAAAAGTTCATGATCTTTTGTACAAGTATTTGAGTATAAATTTCATTGACTCCTACATTTATTTCACTCCACTCCTGGCATGCCCAGCATTTATAGTTTCATATACACATTGCTTCTAAAGGTATGTGAAAGCACTTACATTTTGTTCATCCCTGTGTGCACTGTAAATTTACAATGTAAATACATCTCTCATGACTTGAGATTTTCACCCAAATAACTAAGTAGGATGTAGTTTTAAAGGCTATTTTGTACTCAAATGTAACAAGGAAATATGGTGATGCTCAGCAATCAGAATATTTCAAACTAAGGATTGAATGCCAAACTAATTAAAAAAATAAATTCCTTTGACAGCAAAGTGGTTTTCATGCTGACTGCACTTATTTAAACTGAGGCATAAATCAGAATTTTTAATAAAATATTTGCCCCATAAAGCTTTTCTCAAATGAAAAGTGAAATTGTATCTAAACTGTAATCTTATGAAGTGTAATCTATTTTTCTAGGTGTAAATCCCATTGAATTCATCATAATGTAGCTCTCTTATGAATAGAAATGTGTCTGGTTTTTTGTTTCTTATGCTTGTGTGAAATCTCCACAGGAAAATCATTTTAAATTTATTATTATTCAATCCCCAGCCAGGGATATCAGTGTTAGTCTCCCTAAACTGAGTTGTAAAAGGTCCCACTAAAATGATCACTCTTTAGATTGCCTTTTTGCATTCAATATAGGGTTAAGTTTGTAAATGTGAGAAAAGGGTATTATAGCATATATACCAGCATATGTAATTCTAATTTTGCCCATATTGTTATATTATATGACAGTTTTTCTTTGAAGATAGTGATTTGCTTAGGGCTTGCTTGATTAGCAATGGTGAGTGTACTTTGTAGAAGTCTGTGTTACCTCAGTTTACTTGAACTTGATTTATAGTGAGGCTGTTATGCTAAAACCCACATATTGTGCCTCACCTCAGAGATTACTATCTAAAGAAGTGATCTGCATAGTTTTTCCGAACATTTAAAAAAGTGCATTGTTTTAATTTACAAAGAAAAACAAAACTTCCACTCTTTCCAGGTCTTCCCAGATCCTGCATTCGATGGTTAGGTGCCCTTTTAAAAAGTATATGTTGCGTTCTGCTTTTTGAAAAATTAAAGGCATAAAAAGTACACTTTCCTCTTTCCCCCATTGTAAGATCTCGTTATTTAGTGGCATAAATTCTGTAAAATTTGCAATTTATTAACTCTAAAGAAACACAAACTGAGCGGTCGGAAGAGTCCCTTCAGCCTTGCAACAGGGCGGGTTCTGGAGCGGACCAATCACAGAGCAGAGCAGCTCTATAAATAAACAGCGGCTGACCTACTTGAGCTCACTTTTTGTGTTTGGAGAATTTTTTTTATTAGTTGCTTCTCTCAGCGATCATGTCTGAAACCGCGCCTGCTGTTGCTGTTACGGCCGCGGCTCCAGCCGTAACTTCGAAAGCTCCGGCGAAGAAGGCGAAGAAAGCGGGAGCGGCGAAAGCACGCAAGGCGTCGGGTCCCAGCGTCACCGAGCTGATCACTAAGGCGGTGGCCGCTTCCAAGGAGCGCAAAGGGGTGTCTCTGGCTGCCCTGAAGAAAGCTTTGGCCGCTGGGGGCTACGATGTCGAGAAGAACAACAGCCGCATCAAACTGGCCCTGAAAAGCCTGGTAAGCAAAGGCACCCTGGTGCACACGAAGGGAATCGGTGCTTCCGGCTCCTTCAAGCTCGGCAAGAAATCGGGCGAAGGGAAAGAGAAAGCGCCCAAAAAGAAGGCAGCTAAGCCTAAGAAGCCGGTTGCGAAGAAGCCCGCGAGTGCCGTCAAGAAGCCCAAAAAGGCAGCGGCGGCCAAGAAGAGTCCGAAGAAACCCAAAAAGCCCGCGGCGGCTAAGAAGGCCACCAAGAGCCCCAAAAAGGCTAAACCGGTCAAGCCTAAGAAAGTCGCCAAAAGCCCGGCTAAAGCGAAGGCTGTGAAGCCGAAGACTGCCAAGCCCAAGGCCAAGCCTAAAGCGACCAAAGCGAAGAAAGCTGCGCCCAAGAAGAAGTAAATCCGGAGTTGGTCCGTGGTTGCTTTTCTAAAAACCCAAAGGCTCTTTTAAGAGCCACCCACAGAATCTAAAAGAGAGCTGTCGTCCGCTCAGTAAAAAACTGTTCGGATGCTTTTAATACCCTGAAACAAAGTAACAATGCAGTGTAGCTTGCGTGGAATGAATCCTGAACACTAGGGCATCATTCTTTAGCTTTCAGGGGTGTTATTGAGCTTCGGGGCAAGTATACTTAAGATCAGAGCTCTATATACACAAGTAGACAGACGAATCATTCTGAAAAGCATGGGGAGGGAGCGGGGATGATACGTCTGCATTTGGTTAGGAAGAAGTGGGCAATAAATGCCACCCGAGTGGGTATTTTCATTAATAAAGGTGCACGGCGTCGGGCTTTCACTTGCTAAAGAAAGTTTTCCACTTTCAGTAGTCTCATTTTAGGGAATATCTATTAAAACGGACACGGGCGTTTATATCGAAAGTTCCTATGAAATATGCTGATACCGATATCGCAACCCTCCCAGGTTTGCTTCAAAAACCCTGAAAGTTTAAATGATCTCAATAAATATGAATCACGCCTTTTAATTTAAAAAGGAAATATGTTTTTTCCGACCGGGAAGCGGAATGGACGCGGCATAACTTTAAAAATGCTTGTGAATGAAGGTTTCGTTCGCTCAGGTTGAATTACAGGTCTTTTTCTTCCCTATCAAAGGGTTTTGTGCTACGCTTGTGATAGGCTCACACTAAGACGTCAACTGAACAGCCAATAGCCGCTCGATGTCAAGTAATCCAATCAGTGGTCACTCTTTGCTCTGTTATCCAATAGAAAATGTGAACCAGAAGCCTTTTATTTGCATGGAAGCTGGTATGAAATAAAGCAGCACTTACTAGTTTATTATTGGGACATTTATTGTGGCGTGTATTGGCTACAGCTAATTGTTCGCATGACTCCCTCCCTTTTCCTTCCCCGATTAAGAGGGAGAGTGGAAAAAGATGAACGATGTTTTAAGAGAGTTGCTCTATCAGCGTTTACAAAATTTCGAAAACATCACTGGATCTAAGAAAGCCACTCGTTTAGTTTATTTCTTTGTCACTTCAGGAGATTCAAAGTGATAGTGTTTTCTGTTATGTCGTTGTATCTGAGAGCACAAAGTTCCTAAACAAGACTTTTCAAAAAGTCTCAGTTAAATGATCACACTCCTAAGAAGCATGTCATTTCAAAATTTTCCACTGTCCACGAGATAATTTCTTGGAAGGGCTAAATAAATAAACCATATAAATGTCTTTTTCTTAATAAACGGAAGACAGAACGCTTAGGATTTAATAATTGTTAATAATTGAAGCGAAATCACGTCCTCAACGGGTGCACGTGCATAAATGAAATTGGTGCCCATTGAGTATAATTGAATATAAGGCACTTTCTTCCAACAATATAGTATTTTTTAAAAAGACGCCTTAGTAATACTCTTATGTTCCTCAATAATTTTCAGTCAAGCTGTGAACGAACAGAAGAAAATAGATTTTGCTTTCCGGCTTTTTAAAAAAATATAGTAATATTTGGGGAAATCATAGAATACCAATTTAAAATTAAATAAAAGTGAGTAGCAAAAAGGTTAAAATTGGCAGTCTCATCTTAAATTATTGCGCGCACTTTTAAATTATCCAATGAAGCTTTGGTTCTCGGGCTTCAGCCAATCAATGATAAGCCTCCGTCCAATGGCAAGAGGCTTTTTCTTAGGACTAGCCAATCAAAAGTGCAAGGCGATGTATAAATGCTGTCCCGCGAATTTGTTTTCTTCAGTTCCCTTTTTTCTCCTTTCTGCAAAGAGATGGCTCGGACGAAGCAGACGGCTCGCAAGTCAACCGGCGGCAAAGCGCCCCGCAAGCAGCTGGCGACTAAGGCTGCTCGCAAGAGCGCGCCCGCCACGGGCGGCGTGAAGAAGCCTCACCGTTACCGCCCGGGCACCGTCGCCCTGCGAGAGATCCGCCGCTACCAGAAGTCCACCGAGCTGCTGATCCGCAAGCTGCCCTTCCAGCGGCTGGTGCGGGAAATCGCCCAGGACTTCAAGACCGACCTGCGCTTCCAGAGCTCGGCCGTCATGGCGCTGCAGGAGGCGAGCGAAGCCTACCTGGTGGGGCTGTTCGAGGACACCAATCTGTGCGCCATTCACGCCAAGAGGGTGACCATCATGCCCAAGGACATTCAGCTGGCGCGCCGCATCCGCGGGGAGAGAGCTTAGATCTGCCTCCTGTCGGATTTCATTCGGCCTTTTCCGGAAAATACCATACCCAAAGGCTCTTTTAAGAGCCACCACCTTCGTCTCGAAAGGAGCTGAAAGTCTCTTTAATTCTAGTTTAAATGCTTTGAAAAATTTAAAACTCTCAGCGATGTATCTATACGTACTTATTCTAATCCTGTCTCGTAAACCAAAGGGTAGGTTAATGGAATGGTTAAAACATCGGGAGACTGAATTCTAAGCCCGGTTAGGCACCAAGGTAGGTGGGAGCCATTGGGCTAATGGGCTTTAGCAAACAGCCAGGGGCGAGCCGTTTATGAAATTGTTTAAAGAGAATTACGAAACTTCCAGGAGGGAACAATTGACGCGCATGCGCACACGGTAGCAGCTAGGGTACTCTTGAAACTGCTCAACTAGTAGGATGGTTTGTAGAAGGCGCTGTTGTGTAGGGTGTTTTAGGTTTAATTTCGAGTTCAGAAACTACTTGGGAAGCGAATGTATTTAAATTTAGAATGGCATAGGCATTTTCTTAAATCCTGAAACCAAGTTTCATTTACTGCTTAATTTTTTCTGGATTTAGGCAAAAGGTATCTAGCAACAAATGGAAACTACCTTGCTGGATTACAGGTGATTGACTAATAAAATGAACTAAGAACAAGCCCTCTGCTTGATAATTATTCCGAATCCGTCTTGATTTGGGTAAGTTTAAAACCGTTTTATGTTACTCTGCCAATGGTGTTTGTGCATTCTCTCGTATCTCAATGTGTTTCTTCCAGGCATAGGGATAGCAATAGTACTTGTATACCGATTTACAGCCCTCAGCAATTTACAGAGTAGGACTATTGCCCCCAACAATCTGGGTCCTCAATGCTCTTGAGTAAGTTTATAAAGTGATAATGCATATCTGGGATCCAATTCTGTAAAGGGGCAGGTCATAGCTGCTCGCAAAGGTCTTTATGTGAACTTGTATGAAAGTGGCTGTGCACCTTTTTGTTACATTCCTTGCAAATGTATTCTCAATTTATAGGGTGAAACTGGGCTTTTGAAAAGTGCAAAGCTTCCCACATGGCTTTGTAATGAAATCAATGTTCTGATTATCCTGATATGTGAGCACCTGGCATCTGAGAACATTTGGATACTGTACCTCATTCCTGTAATAGGTCACCCACTCACCACAGCTGTACTGCGGAATTATGAAGCTGCTTGCCATGCAGTGGTTCATCTCATCTTTATTCTGGGGCTCAGCTTGACATTAAAAAGTTGATGTGCAATACCAATTGAAGTCTGCTTCTTACTCTCCCTTCAATGCTTTGTTCTCTTTGTGTAAACCAGGTGTTTTCTGGTTTGGTTTTGCATAATTTCCCCATCAATAGGAATTTGCAAAGAATTTTGGACATGGGACAAGTGATTCTCTGTATAGTCTGTATTGTGGATGTTTTGATCTGTAAACAGCTTTGTTTTGATAGACTTCATTGCCACTGAACACTCTGCATACATTAAAATGAAGTTTTGTTGCATACAGCTCTCAGGGTCATCACCTCCAATATACACTTCATAAACATGACTAACAAAATTATGCATATGGCCACATACATGACAACACTAGTTTGAGTATACATGTATATGGCGAGAAAAATGAGTTTACCAGATGGATGACATAAGAAACAGCTGTTACAGAATCTGGTCCTGCTAGAAATACTTAGAAACCTTCCAAGAGGGTGACAATAAATAGATAACGTGGGTGCTGGGGTCCCTAACAATTCTTTTTTCTGAATAACAAAGTGAGCTTCCTATAATCTCTGCTGTCCTTACAGTTCTCGACTTTATCAGACTGCTGCCACCAAGCCAAACTGATGCAGTTTGTTAAAACGCTCTCAATCATGCCTCTGTAAAAAGTAGCCAAGACAGAAGGAGAAAAATGTGTTCTCATCCAATGCAGGAAATGCAGATGCTGGGTTGCAGGCTTCACTAAAGATGATGTGTGGAGAGACCAGATTATTGGTTACCTGCACTTAATATACTGTTGACCACCTCTACTACTGCTTCCTTGGTATTGAGTAGAGTATGATCATGCCGGCTCTTTCTAAACTATAATCTTTGTTAACATTTAGAACAGGTTACTTTTATGATGAACTTTGGTATTGATAAAAGAAGGCCCTTGGGGTGAGGATGGGTTGGGGCAACATGCCTTGTCAGGCACTGTGGGAGATGGAAGGAAAAGTCATGGAGAAATATTTACCTTATGATTTGTAATGAATATATCTTTTATGTACACTGAGAGCATATGCACCAAAGACAAATTCCTTGGGTGTCCAATCACACTTGGCCAATAAAGAATTCTATTCTTTCCCCACTTGCATCCTACTCCTATATAAATCTGAGCACATCTTTTTCCACTCTGTTATGGTTTGACACCTATTATGTCAGAGGTGAAGACTGGAGTAATTATGAGTGATATCAGCTGGGCTTAGTGGCTGTTTCAAGCTGAGGTGAGAGTGCCATTTTCCCTCTAAAGCAGGGCTGTCAAACTCCTGGCCGATGGGGCCAGATGTGTAAATGCACTGGCCACACCCACACTTGGTTTTTCAAAGCGGGAAAAAAAATCCTGATACAGGATGTGATGCCTCTGACAACACAAGTTTGACACCTCTGCTCTAAAGGTGGTATCCTCAGCATGCTCCCTCTGTTGGATCTAATGGGTTAGGCCAGTGATGGGTAATCTTTTTGTAGTGTGCTGAAAATGTGCATGCATACTCCTAATGCAATGTGTGCGCAACCCCCTGACCCTGTACATGCCCGCATGACCCCCATGTGTGCGCCCCTGTGCATGCATGCATGATACCCTGTGCTCTGCCTGCCCCCGCACATGCACTTTGCCCGTGCATGTGCACATGACCCCCACATGCACCCCAAACCCTGTTCATGCATGCGTAACCACTTGCGCTCCCCCCACATGCATGCACCATCCCCCACATGCACCCTGCCATCCTGTGCATGACACCCGCATATGCCCATGCTACCCCACACCCTGTGCATGCACACAGGTCTCCCACATGTGCCCCACCACCCGTGCATGTGTGGCAGAGACCTAAAAATCAGCTTGTGGGCAGGAGGCATGTGCACATATGTGGTGGAGCTGAGCTGGGGTGACGGCTCACGTACCCGCAGAGAAGGCTCTGTGTGCCACCTGTGGCATGTGTGCCATAGGTTCGCCATCACAGGTTAGGCTGATATAATTGGGAAGAGGTAATTTCTCAGGTAACCTGGACCCACCTTATGGACATCCCTCTAAAAAGATGGTTAGATACCAGATAAAAATTGTCCATGGTAGTGAAAAGGAAGTAAACCAAGGTCTCTTTAAGAGATAATGGAGAAATCCTTTCAGTCAAATAAAAAATTGCCACCAAAACCCATGCTCACAACACTTCAGGCCAGGAGGGGCATGGATCTAAAGACTATGTGGATGAGTTCCGAAGGACACTGTCTGCTTATTCAGGTCCAACAGCCTCAAACCATTCCCAAATAATTTTGCAAACACTTTTCTGAAGTAAGTTTAGGATATAATTTGTCTAAATGCTTCATGTTTCTCCTACACCAGGAGAGTGCTGCACACACCATTAAAGCCTTACAGGTGTAACAATTGCACTAGGAGGGATTTATTCAGGTATTTATATTTTAGAGTAAGACCATTAATAGAATAATCCAAGTTTAGAAATGGAAGGATCTTAGAAAATGCCTCATTCTATGAAAATACTGTTTATTCCCAAACAATGAACCTAATGATCCGTTAAAAAAAATAAGGATTTTGTGATTTAACATTTAGTGCTCATATAATGTAGCGTAATTCATTTTAGACAGTTAGTACCTAATGCATTACTTGAATGTGTTTTGCCTCCTTTGATCCTAGAACAAAAGGAACATTTGAGCTCTGCATCTGGGCAGTAATTCAAGATCAAGATAATTATTAAATTTTGTTGATATTGTTATTTTATTCAGTTGTGTTTAATTATTCACACTTAAGTCAGCAGAATAAACAAAATGGGAAATTAAACATATCCATTCCAAATTTCTAAAGAGTTCTCTAAGATATTTTTTTCTGCGCTGGTGGGAATACTTATTCACATCTAGATGCAAGGTAAATTCTTCAGACAGCTGAATAATTAATGGAGAAGGGGTGTCCTTCCAGCTTTGCAGCATTAGCTTTTTTGCGATCTTTAAGAATGCTTTCACTGATTATGATTACATGCCATGAAGTCATTCTTGAATTTTAGTGACCACATTGATTTTCTCCATGATGATCCATTCCTAACCTGGTTCTTCATATAGTCTAATGTTGCACTCATCAGTACTACAACTATTCACCTTGCTACTGGTTGTAGTCTTTTTTTCCACCTTTCTCAGCATTTGACCTTCTCCAGAGGGGTAGATCATCACACAGTGTGTCCAGATTATGAAAGTAGGATAATCTGAGCCTGGTCATTTGTACCTTGAATGAAAACTCTTGAGTTGATTTGTTTTATGGTCCACTTTTATTATTTGGCTGTCTGTTCTGACACCCCCCCCCCCGTCCTACACCAAAGCACGCGAGACAAAGGTACTTCAAGGATTTATTAACACAGAGACAAGACCTTGGCAGCAATCCAGCACAGTCCAGACTTTGCAAGCAATCCAGCACAGACTAGATGTTGGCAGCAATCCAGCACAGACTAACCTTGGCAGCAATCCAACCTGCCAAGGTAACCACGAGAGTTCTCCAGCTCTAGTGAGTACGTTGACTCCTGCAACGAGTGTGCTCCTGCATGATGTCAGGAGCACACTCCCTTGTCTCCTCCCCACTGGTCCAAGGCTCAGGCACCTCCTGGTGGCCAACCAGCCTCTGCGCCCTGCTCAGAGTCGGAACCCTGTCCAGGATCCTCCAGAGCCGACTCATAGGGCCCCTCACTGTCAGAGTCTGGTGACGGCTCCTGCTGGGCCACAACAGCTGTCTAAAATAATATCAGAAGTTTTCTCCAACATCAAGGTTCAAAAGCATTGATACTCTTCCTTTTCACTGTCCTATTAATATTTGTCATTAGTATATAATTAGAAAAAGAACAAATCTGCAAAAACCCATAAGCCTTACAGAACAACATTAATATGCTTAATATTCCTGCCTTCTATTTTTCCCATAACAACAACCCTGGATTGGGCTGACATAAAGTGACACAAAATCACACGGATGGCTTTTATATCTAACTCACATTCTCCTTGTTTCTAGGCCATCACTTAAACTACTGCACCATACTGGCTCATGTCAATTTTTTCCAAAATGCAGAGTCATTGTGTTAAGCCACAATAATTTCTCTTTGTTCTTTCAGTCTCTTGTGTGATGTATACAACCTTTCTAGATTTTAAATCAGAAATGGGCATTTTACAGCCCACAGGCTACATCTGGCTCTGGCTATTCCTGTCCAGTCGGTGGTGGTGGTGGAGAATGAGGCATTGGCAAGGAGTGGGGCATCAGACATTAGGGCATTGGAAGGTGGGGCAGAGAGCGGGGCAGTGGCCCTCCACAACAGTCCCAGTTTTTCAGGTGGCCCCTTGAGGACATTTATTGCCCACTTCTGTTCTAAATGTTCATCCTTTGCACTCTACATACGGAACTGACTGCAGATTCAACTGCCAAAATTAGCTGAATTTCAAGCATCTATATCTGGTACCTGAAGACAGCTGCCATGATGGAGGCTCATTTATGTTTGCTATTCTGTAACCTTTCTATTTTGGGAGACCCTGCATCTAATATCAGCTTAAACATGTCCTTTAACAATAAAGGCGGACAAGAAATATCATGCTGTTTATAGTTTTCTGCAAACTCAGGATGAATGAATTACTCTTCAACTCAACAGTAGAAGGCCTATCATGTTTCAGTGGAATAATGATCAAACTAAGTTACTCTGTTAACCAATTCCTGAAACCTTTAAATGATATCTGTAAAATAAATGTACTGTGATTATAAACACTGTTTCGAAAAGAAAATTGTAATCTGCATTTTCTGACCTTGCCTTCCCAAACCACCCTATCCTTTTAGGAAATAAACTAGCTAAGAGCCATATGATATATTGATTAAAATGCTGGGCTTGGAGAGGGGAAACCCATATTTTAGTCCTGTCTTCGTTATGGAAGGCAATTGGCACTGCCTCTCAGCCCTAATCAGTGCCAGGCTTGGCAATAAGCCATCTGAAAACAAAATGACTTGTGGCATCATGTACTAAAACTTTGCTGTGTGACTTCTGCAGGCACAGTCTAAAAGGTATGGTAATCAAAGAAGAGAAATGCTAAGAAAAAAATAGAAGAAAACTATCCACGTTTCTGCTGTATATATAGAGCAGAGCACTTATTTCTTCAGATCACTAATATATATGCATAAGTAGTGCACTAATGTGCCTATCATCCCTGTCATTGTATTTTTATTCTCTTATTCTTGTTCTCATTTTTGTTTGACATATTCCAATAAATAAAATAAATATGTATGTTAAATACTAACTAATACTTTCTGTGTGGAATTTTCACAGTTGTCACTGTGTTCTGGGTATTCCTGTTCAGTCAGTTACACTGTGGACCCATTAAATCTTTTATCTTACTGGATAAAATACACTACTCAAGATCTTTCTCACCACTGAGAATTTCCCAGCCACCAGGTGTTGCCTGGGCGCCTTGGTTTTCAAGGTTTGGAGAATAGCTTACTGAAAAAAAATTGTCACTGAAATTAATGGAGAAAGAAGAGAAAATCTCCTGAAAGCTGCAAAAGAGATATTGAAACGGCTGCACAGTAGTTGAAAAAGCTGGTAACAGAAAACATGCTATGCAACGTTGCAGTCCAGATTACTGTAGCTGTCCATTGGCTTATTGCATATAAATGTAAGTAGCAGAGTACCAATTACTTTGCTGGATGATTTAGGTTTTAATCTTAATTTTGGTACATGAAATCCAGCAAAAATTTATATGACTCCTATTGGATTTAATGTCACATTTAAGGCTTCTGCCTGAGGCATAATAACTGGGACTAAAATCCATTGAATGTAAAAATTTATGTAGACGCCTAGGAGACTGGAAAAAGAAATGTATTGGTTCATGTGGCACATAATTAAGGTATTGGACTGGAGTGAGATCAAGCCAGAAGTCAGTTAAGTGTCTCTGTTCTGGATCAGAATGTATATATTTCTGAGTAAATAGCTGGTCATATTTGGCTCTGCTGGTTTTGCAACTGTACTACTGGCTTAAAAATAAGATTTCTGCCTACTTTTTCTTGCCATATTTCTCTCTCTACTAACTCATTTGCTATTTGGATTAATAATAGTTCTTCTTTTTAGATGGTGCAGGCAGTGGGGCTGTGGTAGAAGCTTCAATAATCCCAGTTGGAGGTAAATGTAAACTCTTAGCATGCATGATATATTTATTTATAATGCTTACCCATCTGAGGTATTATATATTGTTATTGCAGCAATATAGACAAAATTATGGAATATATTTTAAATCTCTTCATTTTTATTAGAAATCATCTGACTTAATCATCTGATTAATCTCAAAGAGACTAAGGAAGATTGATTTGTTCATTTCCTGCCTTTTTTATTTTTACAAATCACTCAAGGTGGTGAACATATCCAACACTTAAAAACAACCCAATGGGCTGCATGTTGCCCTTCACTTAATTTTGGAAATATATATTACATGCCAGTTTGGATGGCAAATCATGGTTGGTAGCTTATGGCAATGTGTGAATTCAACCAATTATGGCTTATAGTAGAAAATGATTAAGTAACCCATGACTAGTGAGCTCAGCAAAGAACCTTTTCATGCAGTTTAAAGTGAATAGCCTCAGAATGGAGGACTGGGTGGTCTTCGGATGTTTGGGGACTGTAGTTATCAGAATTCCTCAGAGGGGCAACTCTGAAACATCCATAGTAAAGAGGTGGAGGAGTCTAAAGGAAGGTGTCCTTACCCGCACCATTTGCCACAACTCTTCCTCGGACCTGGGATCTCAACTCTCACACTTCTATTATCTGAGTTCCAGGCTGTCCCAGTGAAAAAAATGTGTCAGGCAGGGAATTATGCTATTAAAACATTCTTGAATAAGGAAATGTTCTCCATCACCTGGAATCCGGATAGAGTACAAGAGAAAATCTCCCTTCACCGGCAATCAGATTCCCACCCCCACCCCTCTTAGGTTTCAGTTTTCCTCTTTTAAACAAAGACACTATTGGAAGAAATGTCCATCTGGGAAACATGGAGATGCTTGGAAAGAAGGTTTATTGATGAACAGGATCACATGCCTTGAAGATCTTGGGCAAAGAAAAAAGGGAGGAGATGCTGAGAGTGCCTGAGAGTGGATTTTATGCCCTTTCTGGGCTTTTGAATTTCAGCTTGTATTCTGATTGATTGTCAGACTCCCATGGGGCCATGCAGGGGTAACTTTGTAGGTTGTGTTTTGAGTCCAAGCTTGGTTGAGCCTTGCTCAGTGATGTAATCTTCCAAGGTGCCATGTGATAGATTCTGTTGCTAGAAGGTAATCCTACCTTTGTTGGATCTTGGGTGAGGGTATTTGCTTATGAATACACCTAGCCATCCCTTTATCTTTTAAGTGCTAACATCTGCGGTGGGCTGTTGAGGAGTGTGGGGGCTATTAAGAGTGAGTCTGCTTCCTGCATAAAAACATGTTTCTCCATTTCTCATCCAGGGAAATATAATATTCTGCCGTTTTAATATTTCCAAGAATATTTCATTTTTCTAGGAGTGGGTGGGTGCTAATTTCCTACAACACCAAATCCAAGTGGGTATGGCAAAATGTGGAACTGCATTACAAACTTAATCCTGGAATGTCCAAGAAAGTAAAGATTTTTATTTGACTACAAGGCACAAAGTAGAAATTAGGCTGGAATGCTGAACTACAACCAACTATCTGAAACCGAGATCTGTATTACAAAGCTCACAGTAGTCAGTAATTTATAAACAAATGAGGTAGACTGATAATTGAAATACAAAAATCATTTTTTTTAACACTGAACAGGATTAAGTTTGTAATGCAGTTCCACATTT